CCCCAAAACCCCAAAACCCCAAAACCCCAAAACCCCAGAGTATTAATATATCATTGAATTAGTAAAATTTTATCAAAATTCAGCTTTTCCTAGGCTAGTGATTAAACTTTAACTAAAATCCTTTCCAAATCTTAAATTGTTATTATTTCTGGTTTACAAAAAATTAGGAATCGAGTGGTGGATTACTTCATCATTGTACCACTCTGATATGAGCAAGTTCATGCTTAAATAATAACTCAGTTGTTTGATTAACCGAGATTCCACATCCATGAATATTAATAGTCTCTAAAGAGTCTTTTATGGAAGAGTTCTTGATGGCCACAATTATGGGTTCAAACCTTTCTGGGTAAGTGGCCCATTCCATATTTTGCCAAATAGCGCTTCCAGAGTCCTGAAAGCTTAAATATTGTATTCTCGATTGCTCCTCAGTAGAAAAATCCAGAGCTGAGGAAGTTGATATTTTGCTTGACCTAATGACCAATCTTTGTGCGCTAGCTGATGCCCTGACGACACTACTAAGCTCTTCAGAATTAAGGATCAGACTATGCAGATAAACCTCTTGGGTAACCCTCCTTAAAAGTCTGCACAGCCCTTGGATATAGAACTTAGCCTTGATGGCTTGTCCTTCGCCACTCCCCGCTGAGGGATGGTTGAACGAGAATAGTTTCAAGGAAGAAGGATGCGAATTAGTAATGAACTTGTTCAGACTTTGGTCCCCGTTCTTGACCTTTGATATTCTCAGCCTTGACTTTGGCTCAAGGTGATAAGTCAGCATATTCATGTTGGTGATTATTTCTTTGGATTTTTGTTGGGTCATGTCTAGGGTCAGGACTATTTTTAGGAATTAGGGTGGGTTTGTGAGGGAAGAGGGGTAATAGAGGGTTGTTTAGGCTGTTTTGGAGGGAATTTGGGCGATTTGGAGATTTTTTGGGAAAATTAAATTTTTAAGTTTTATGAAGAATTCTAATTATTGCATTAAGTTATCCTGTCAAAAATATTGCTAAAAAGTAATCTTATATCAAAATTTTACAAGTTGGATAATAATTAGTAATATTTTTATAAAGTAAATATAACAATGAGTGCGATATTATTAATGATAGCAGAAAGTTATGATAATTTTACTTTACCATGCAAGTCCTGAACTAATATTGTTCTTTATAAACTTATCATCTAATTCCAACAGCTGAAATACTGAATTTAAAAATCTAAAGGCTAGAGAATCTCTTGTTATTCAATTTTCTACCCCAAAAAGTTGATTATAACCCTAATAAAACCCTCAGAGGTACTCTAAATAAGAGTTGTTTGGCTTAATAATTCCTTACCTGAGTCACTTGAATCGTAACCAGTGAGCTTCATAATGGTAGTTTTCATCATCTCAATTTCTTCATTGTATTTCAAATTCTCAAGTTTATATAAATTATTAAGCTGCTCGAGATCACGTGGGAGAGGCTCTTTGCCATTTGAATTGGTCATTTTTAAATCATTTAGCTCTCATTTAAGCTTAAGATTCCATAAAATCAGTAGTATTAAAATCACAGATAATACACAATTCATGATAAATGGGAAGGAAGTTATTTTAATTTTGCTTAGAGTCTTCTTCTTCCTCCTTTATTGGCATTGGAATTAAGCCATAGTTAATACTCCCGCTATTTCTGGGATTCCTTGTGTGTTCAGAACCAAGGATACTTGTGTTGCCAGTACTACTCTGATTCTTACTTTCTTCTCTTCTTGGAATATTAGGGTCTGTTCGTGCCCTTTTAATATGCTGTCTTGCTCTGATCTCAGATTGAGATTCTAAAGTATGGTAATTAGGAAACATACCAATGCTTTGATCGAGTGATTCAAGTGGGGATATATTCCTACTAGCTGTCAAGAAGAGCACTTCTCTCACTTCTTCATTTTCTGAGAGCTTCAGCTGAAGTCTAAAAACCATGAGCTTATTCATCATTAAAAGAAGGAAAAACTATAGACAAATTATTGGACATACTCTCTTAATTCAATTTCATAAACATCAAATTTCCCATGAAAACCTTGTTCAATAGCTTCTTTCAATTTTCTATCAAGATTTTCAATCTTTTCTTGAAAGCCTTCTAAGACATTATTTATTTTTGATTCACAAGAAGACAATCCAGTTTTATCAGCTAAAACCTCCAGTCTCTTCATCAATCCCTTAGCCTGCTGAACATCATCCAAAATATCTTGCAGTTCTCGTGCCAAAACAACCGTACACTTAAAATGCACCGAATTTCTACACTGAGGTCATGTAAACACTTGGTGATCTCTTCAAAAATAATCCCCTTTACTATCAGCTTGTGAATCGCTACATCTGAACCTAAACCAGGTGAATCCCCACTCAAACGCACCCTAGATACCTGCTTGCCATTACAGAATGTTTTTAATTATTTAACTTCTACACTACCCTATCCATCCGGGGTTTTGGGGTTTTGGGGTTTTGGGGTTTTGGGGTTTTGGGG